ATTGCATTTCCATACGACTTTTTCCTTCCTCTGATGATATTTTTCAGGTTTATGTGATATACAAATAATTGCGAGAATCAATCTCCTTTTCATTCTTGATCAAGAAAACTAAAGCAGCATTATGAAATTTGTCTGAGATTACAATAATTTATCCAATGTGATGTGAAGGTACAGGACGATAATGTGATCGTTGCAATTTATTCAACATATCTACATATTTAATACTCAAGACATTTCAAGATCTTGATTATAAAAGTTGTCCATTATAATAGCCGACTGAATGCCTATATTGGCAAAGCACTACTTCAATATTTATTGCTTGATCATTGTTGGCACAGTGATTACCGAGCGATAACTTCTCCTTCGTATATCTGGAATAAACTATTTGTGAATTTAAGGTTACCTATAAATCACAACTACATTATTACCTAGCCTGCTGCAACACTAGTTAGGTGAAAACAAAGAATCAAGTCCTTGGTAGGAGTAGATTGCTCAGGACTTAAACCTCATGATATAGGAAATAACCTCGGTAATAACTTATAGTCACGTTCTATCTATCAACTTGCTCACTTCACATCTACCAATTACAAATGACTCATGCGCAAAAATATAGAGAATAGAAAATGGAAGACCGATGGAAAATACATCAATCAAAACAGTGCATCCGATAGGTTGCTGGTCCATTGTTATTTCATTGATTTCTATGACATTGAGGAACTCATCTCCTTTAATCATTGTTCAACCAGTACTGTTTCAGTGATCTCCGTGAAGTGGATTATACCCATTGATTTGCCGTAAACGAAGTGTAATCTTGATTCAAATTAATCCATAGGAAACGCCATGAACATGTACTTTTTTATCAACAGTGAAAACACAAGAGCTTTTTTTATCGGATAAATTTCTCCTGATAACGAAGAACATTTGCCGACCAGTAATTTTACGAGAAAAACTGTCATAAAAAAATTGCGGGACCGTAGGTTGAGCGGTGTCAGTTTATCGAAAGAAAAAACTGATGAAAAATATTTGAGTTAGTATAAGGAAAGTTACCCAATTGAAAAAAAGTTCGAGTGTTTTTTGGCGAGATGAATCACCGACAATATACAAATGAACAACAATAATGATTACCTTCATTGATGATTTAGTGTAACTGGTAGTTCGCGGAATTTATTTTCTCATATCTTTCTGGTTTCTTCAGACGAAATTTTACTAGAACGGTTTATCTCAATCAAAATTTGAGTGACATCAGGCGCAAATGCCTACTAGATCAAATGAACAGACAGTTTATCAGCGATAAAAAAAGTGCATCCTTCTATATCGATGTCAAAATGACTCACGTCGTTGTCATATAGCGTTTTCCGTGTAGGAGTTGATTTATCAACAGGAAAAACACAAGAGCTTTTTTTCATCGCATAAATTTCTCTTCCTAACGAAAACATTCGCCAATCAATAATTTTTCGAGAAAAACTGACATGTCAGTTTTTCGAGCGAAATTACTGATGGAATATGTTTGAGCTAGGGAAGATATTTATCCATTAAAAAATGATCGAGTGTTTTTTGGCATGATAAATCCACGACAATTTATAAATAAATAACAACAATAATTAACTTTCTTAAAAAAACTATCTGAAGGAGCAGTTATTAAAACTACAATTTTTGAAAATATCATGGTTTGGTGTCGAAATTTCTATATTTTCTTTTCTGATGGTTTCGACACATGTCGAATATTCGTTCGTACACTTCGTAATATCCGATGATCGTAAATTACTAAATTGATTTTCGTGATGTTCAGGGTCAATTTGTAAAAAGGGTTTGATCGATGCTGAAGAAGAATGTCCAGTTATTTTATGAGCTACTGGTCACTTATTCCTGCTTTGCCCAACTGTGTAACTGTACTAGCACGGTTTGAATGATTGGTAATTTCATTAGTTGTGGTGTCAAGGCCAATTTTCGTTGCTTTTGGTCCAAGAAGATATCTTGTTATTTCCCAGTGGAACATTTTTAAACCAACCTTCAGAATTTTTGTGCCTCCAAAAAGGATTTGGAGTTAAAAAAAGGCGTTCAGATGTTATGTTTTCGTTTCTTCTTTCTGAAAGTAATTTTAATAACCTCAATGAACAAATAGTTTCATCGATTTGATTTTTGGTTATCCATTTGCTGTCTGCCAATTTTTGTGCCCACCTTGTGCCGTCTTAGAAAATATTGTATTATATTCTATTCTACCTATAGTAGTTCCATCTTGATTTTTCTCTTCCTTGAAATGGTATATTTTACAGTTCACAGCTTCTCCTCCCCTCCAAGCTAATTCATAAGAAGCTATATGGAAAAATCTTTCTTGCAATCCATCTGGTTCATTAACATTCCATAGTTTGTCCATTTTTATGATATCTTTCTTATCTATTGCAACAGAACCTAACTTCATCTTATCCGAAATAGCTTGTAATTCTTTCCGTTTACTATTTCTCGCATCACGAGCTTCTTTGAAAGTTATATGCGCAAAAGGATCAACTTTGATATTGTACTCACTGAAATATTTTTATCGAATCATCTTCGCAGTCGAATTCCAGATTGTTTTCAAAGCATATTCCTTGTAATCATCTCCATTCCGCTTCTTCATGTAGGTTAGGTTAGGTTAGGTTCCATGTGAGTGGGGCGAACACCTCCCCTCCACTGCGACCCCAGATGGGTATATTGTGGCTCACCCCTAGAGGTTACCGTACAATCCACATCTTTTTATAAAGTTTATGGTTGAATTGGGTGAGATTTGTCTGAAATCGATAGGTTCTAGGTTGGTAAAGCCAAATGTGTCGAACCTTAGTCTTTCTAAGCTAGAGCATGAACATAATATGTGTTCAGCCGTTTCGTCTTCCACACAACAGAACCGACAGTCCGTTTGTTGGTTCAGACCCATCCTTCCCAGGTGGTATCTTAGACGACAGTGTCCCATAAGCAGTCCAGTCAGAATTCGCAGGTTACCCCTGCTCCATTCTAGGATCTGCCTGGTTATTTTTTCCGATGGTTTAGGCAGGAACGCCTTCGAATGGGTTAATCCTGGTAATTCGGACCAGTACGTGAGTGTTTTTCCCTCCGCCCAGCCCGAGATAGTTGTTTTCGCCGCACTTGCGGTGACCCCAAAATATGGTTCTGGTCCTATGAACACAAATTCGGTTCCCTGTTTGGCGAGGATGTCGGCTTTCTCGTTACCCTCCACCCCCTGGTGTCCAGGCACCCACAGCAAAGTGACTCTGTTGTTAGCCAGGCTTTCTAGGGATTCAATGCAGCTCCATACAAGCTTGGAATTTATCTTGCTGGAGCTCAGTGCTTTAAGAGCAGCCTGACTGTCTGATACAATACTGATATTTTTGTTTACTAGAGGTTTATTCGACAACTCTCTAGCACACAATGCAATTGCGAATACCTCCGCCTGAAAGATTGTAGCATATTTGCCGAGATTGACGGAAATTTCCGTCTTCGGTTTTCTGCTGAACACACCGGCTCCCACTCCACGAGGGGTTTTCGAACCATCTGTGTACATTACGTGTTCGGTCTCTGGAAATCGGACTGATCCGCTTGCCCATTCGTCTCTCTTCGGGAAGAGGACTTTGAAAGACTTTTTCACGTGTGTCACACAGTATCCCGGAGTGGTCCAGCAGTCGCCCCCCTCTGATTTGATTTTCCAATGACAGGAATCTGTAGGAAACCATCCTGGCTTCCCTCTCCAAGACAATGTGGAGGGGAGTGAGGTTCAGGAGGTTTTCCATCGCTGCCGTTGGAGTAGAGGCAGGCCAGCCGCTGGAGACCAGCAAGCTTTGCCCTGGCTGTTCCCTGCAGACCTTTAGTCCACCAGACTACCGAGCCATACGTGACCATTGGTTTTACCATTGTTTGGTAAATCCAGTAAATCTGTTTGGGGTTCATTCCCCATGATTTGCCGCATACCCTTCTGAGGTTCCAGAGGGAAAATCTGGCTTTGTTGATAGTTTTTGCCATATGGGCGTTCCAGGTGAGTCTTTTATCTAGGATGATCCCTAGATATTTCACCTCCGTCGCAAACGGAATGCTCTCTCCATATAGGACAGGCTGACGAAGCTTATCTAGCTTTTGCCTTCTGGTAAAAGGGATGATTACAGTTTTCTGGGGGTTCACAGACATCTGCTCCCTCTCGCACCATCTGTACACAGTATTGAGGGCTTCTTGTAGGCCGTTTGAGATCGTCGCTTCAAATTTCCCTCTTACTATTAGGACGAGATCATCTGCATAGCATTGGAAATCCACCCCCTGCATGGAGAGATCGCTCAGCAGAGAGCTTCTTCATGTAATACGCCCAATCCTTCAAAATGTCTGCTATTTGGGGCACCGGTGTTTATTCTCCCAATTCGTAATTTCTGGCTTCAGTAAACTGTATTGTCTCCAAATCGACGATTTCGTATTTTTAGTTGCTTGCGGAATTGTATTTTTTATACATTTCGAGATTTCTTCCGAAGAAATTTCTCCAAATCGGCTCATTTTGCGTATTTTCGTATCATACAATACCTACCCATAAAACATGACAAGACAGAAATTGAAGTGACGGTCGCATACTCGATGAAGGAACATGCATTTTTCATTTTTACAGCGATAAAAAATGATGCACCTTTTTTATCGATGTCAAAATGACTCACGTCGTCTTCAAATAGGGTTTTTCGTGTAGGAGTTGATTTATCGCCGAAAAATAGTTCCAGTAGTATACCATCGATTAAATCATATGCGTATCGAAAATGGGTTCTCTTCATTGAAATAATCATCGTACGGAGATAATATATGATGCTATTTTAAACGTAACAAAAGTTAATGTCATGATCCTTCAAAGGTGTTACGTACGTCAAATACAAAAACGTAACATCCTTATAGCCGGACTGCATTTTTTCCTCAGTCTAGGGAGAATAAAATCGAAACTAGTTTTGTTGATGGGATGTTGCCTCTATCCTTTGCACCCTTCTCAATCCAATTCAGAGCCTTCTTACCTGCGCTCTCGCCTGCTCCCCGACCAAAATGACGTCACGGGTGGCATCGTGGAGGGGGATGTCGGAAATGAAGAGGCCGCTTCCGGTGAGCCCTTCAAGGCCGTCGATGAAAGGTGACGCGATGAACAGTATCGAGTTCGATTCGGGGCAATGCACCATCTGCCCTTTCAGCTGTAAACCCTGCAAATAATAGGATGTATTAGAATAATATGCTGATACTAGTGTCGGGATAAATGATTAGATAAACTTCAAAATAGCCAGAATGAATGCTCAAAAGGGAACTTGTTAATGAATTTGTAAACAATAACTGAACTAAGGTTTCTTCATATCCGTTGAAAGTTGAAATAGAAGCTGTACAAGTCTGTTTTTTCAGTTGATTACTATTTATGAGATATTTACTTTGTATCTGTCAGCTAGATTATTTCTCAACAATTGAAACTGTATTGTCACTATATGAGATAGATCTACTTTCATGATCTATATACAGGGTGTCCCGTGATTAGTCTGCCAAACTTCACCAACGGCTTCTTCGGCCTAAAATAGGAACAATAATTTCAATGAACATAAGTCGAGAAATGTCTATTAAGGGAGCTACGTCCCCCTGCAAGGGGACTCCTTAAGATGATATTTCTTGAATATTTCCGAAACGCAACGTGATAAAATGATGCAATTCGGTAGAAGAACTTAACTTCATATGCCCAATGCGGTGAACATGAAATCATTTCAAAGTTTCATTCAGGAGTGTATAATCCAGGGTGAGACTACAGCAAATTTCACTCAAACTTTTTTGTATGCATATTTTTTGACAATTTAATCTCGGATTATGAAAATCCACGCCGTTTCACAAAAAAAAGGTGCACTTGTTCCACATCGATCAGATGTATCATTTTCGAGTGGAAACGATTTAAAAATATTGATGCACTCACATCTTATGCATAACGTTGCCAATTTTCAAATCATAGTTGCTATAAAAAAATTGAGTACTTTGTTTTACCAAACAATCTCATGATAGCGCGAAAGCTAGACAACTGATGATGAAAAAGTTACTTAAATTTTTGTGCAATGTTATGCATAGAATATCTGAGATGATGCTGAGATGTAACAATATTCTTAAATTGGTTTTACTCGATAATAATACATCTGATCGTCACGGAACAAGAAATCCTTTATTTTGGAAAGAGGTGTGAAATTTCATAATCCGAGATGACAATTTCGAAAAATATGCATACACGAAATTTTGAGCGATATTAAATGGATGAGTTAATGTGACCTTCATTGTATCTCATATAGTGTTTATATGCAGAGTGTTTGGCAGCAATATTTCATAGATATATTATTACATGAAGACACATTGATCAACTTGTATAGTGTTCGAGATTGAATGACAACAACATTCCTTGAAGTTGCAGAAGAAAAACGGGATGAAGAATAAGAAGAAGAAGAATATTTATTTGAAATAGGTGACCCTAATACACAAAAAACTAAATAGACATATTAATAACACTATAGATATTATTAAAATTCAAAAAATGTATTGACATTTCAATTTCAAGTTTGAAAACTCATCACACACATAATATATAAGTTATTAAAAGATTTACATTGTAATACAAAAACATATGAAAAATAGGTACAGCTCTAATAAAATCTTAAGTAAATAAAAACAATATACTTACAAATACTTTATTTAGAAAATTATCTCAACAAATTATATTCTATCAAATATTTTGGATGGATTCCAATAATTGTTTTTCAAAAATACTCAATGATGGGCTAGATTTGATTTTGTTAGGTAATTTATTGTATGTATCAAAACCTTTGAGGAACAATGCATTCATGGCACTTTTCCTATTTGTTCTGCATACATGCAAATTTGTATTGTTTCTTGTGGCATATTTGTGTACATTTGAATTCAAATTGATAAATTCACGCAAATATGAAGGTGATAAGTTATTGAGTATTTCATATATAAATATCATGGTTAAGTAAAACAATCGTAGCGATACTGATAGCCACTGCAAAGTTTTTAACATGACTCCTATTTCCTCCTCCTATCTCCTATATACAGTACGGGTATGGAGAATTTTTCAATATTTTGCAGTGGTTTGTTTGTCACCCTGTATAGCTAGAGATCACCATGTATTGCCTTCAGCGGTCTATCTGTCATATACCCAATGGATTAATCTCCAGAATGAAGAGAAACGCATTCGAATAGGTGAAATTTTCGCGAAAATAATCAATGTTGAATTCAGAGTCACAATTTACATGATGCGGTTCGATTGATCAGCAGTTTAGTTTTCCGATTCAATCAACCGCCATATTGAATAAGCCTACTAGATGAAAAGGAGTTCTGTGCATCTCTTATACTCGGAACTTATACTCGGAACATTTGCGGGAGAGGCGCCTACTGGAATAAAACGGCTATGCAGGACCATCGGGTCGAATTATCCTGATGTAATCTAATCCGGGATCGGGGTAATTCGATAATGCTCTATTCGGTTTGGTTGCAAATGAGACACTGTCGCGACAAAAGGAAATAATGGAAAGAGCCTCGAGCACTCAGCTTCCACCTTCCACTCTAGTTAGCCAAAAGAGCCTATAGCAGCAGCCGTACTATATTATTACTTTGATCACCGCCAGATGGTCGGTCTGGTTATTGTGAGGCAAACAACTTCCTCTGAACATATACAGGGTGAGTCATGACTAACCAGTCACAGCCTAATGGTAGATAGAGGAACTCAAGTTGAGTTTATATATATGTGAAAAAATATATTCTGCCTATTCCTAACAGAAATACAGGGCATTATATGAATTCGAAACTTTGGTGAACAATATTTCAGGAACGTCTTTCGCCTGAAATTCACCAGCAATTCACCTCTACTGACACACCGCACGATGGCCTACTATGGAAGAAAAATTCCAGAGCCGGACTTGGAGAACTCATTTTGTTCTTACATGTCAAAAAATCGACTTTCGGAATCGTATTTTTCAAAAACTTTCATCAGAATCAGAAAAATTGAGAAGAACACTACAAGTGTAGCTTTCCAATTTGTATGGCACACTTCAACTGGATTAGACAAAGAACTATCGAACAAAATACTGATGAACGAACTCGGAAATATCAACAATTGTTCCTCCCTTGGCAGTCCCCGCGAGATCAATTCGTCGAGTTGAGGCTTCGCACCCCTTCGTGGTCACTTTGGAGACCTGCAGAACCTCTCTTTTCAAAGACTCGTTCATCCAACGAACAGCAAGGCTCTGGAACACATGGCGAAGAGAGGTGGTCTCCGAGGCATATGACCTCCAGAAATTGAAGGAGAACACCAATTCCTACCTTATTTCCTTTGGTTCTCACGATGTTCTCCGAACATTGCAGGATATCCCTTTACGTGAGAACCAGACCATAAAAAAAACATTTCATGCATGCACGATTACACCTATCACACATTATTTCCACCTCCAAAGTTATATTGTATAACTTCCGCCATCCTGGTTTTATGTCACTCGGATGTAAATCATCAAATTTTTATATCCTTTTCAGATCCTGTAGTGTGGGAATGACGAATAACGAAACACACATTGGGTGAAAACTTCAGCCATGTTGAGATAGCTCATGTTTGTTTTCACTCATAATTCCACTGGCGAATAAATTTTTTGCGGATTATTTTGAGCTTCTCCTGGAGTCGGAATAATACTCGGAATATTTATGCACATGACTCATAGTCAAAATTTAAATTCAATTGGAAGAAGTTGTTATGTATGTACAGGGATATTCATGAAGAAGGCCCACTCCTTTATTTACGTTGTTTTTGATTGGAAAAATGACAAACGATATGCGAAAGTTGAATACCACGATGAGTCTTTTCCACAGCCCTCATCAAAATTATTACGGGGTGATTCCTAAAAGCGTGACAAACCACGAATTGATTTTTCCAAATGGAACACCCTGTTTTTCATATATTTTTTGGAATCAGTGATGTTTTGTGATCACAAAAATATAAACTAAGCATTAAAAGCATTTATTATGAATTGACAATACAACCAATGGGAGTTACTCTGACATCCACAGCTATAATTATTATTCAATGTTTAACTGACAGACTTTACTTTGCTATCCATGTTTATGTGTTGAAACACCAACGCTGATAGACCAATCAGAATTGAAAGACATCTGAAGTTCTCGCGATAATTCGAGTTGGCTTTGGCTTGTGATTGGTCAGATCATGTGAGAATTTTAAGATGAGTGAAAGAGTCACTTCCTATCCGAAGGAGTTTTGGAGGTGCACGCTATCGCCTACTTCGTAAATATGGCGAGACGTGGGAGAATCTAAATTCTTCCGAAACCACGTCAATTTAGACTCTGATATTTGAAGACATCAATGATGAGGGGTCGCTGAATTGATTGCGTGTTACATTTGAAACAACTTGGTTACTCTCAACATATATATAAAACTGTTAATTTAGCAATACTGCCAATATCACCATCGAATTGGGTCTCGTTTTGGAGAGTCTCGCATGGTCTCGTCTCGTTTTCGAGACAAGACTCGAGACGAGACTCGGACAAGACAAGACGAGACTTTCATTAGTCTCGTCTCGAGTCTCGTGCAAGGCTTCTCGAGTCTCGTGCGAGAGTCTCGCAGGTAAATATTTCTGCGTGCCGACTGCATACTTGAGGATTTCATTCATAATACAACATATTTAGAAATAATTCAGGCTATTTAGCACAGATAGACAAAACATTTCATTCATTGATACTTTAAAAACATAATCCATGATCTCTTATGGCGGCAGAAAATAAAGGCAATTCTGCAATAACGACAGATCGCAAATTGAATGACTACCTGAAAATCTATAAATGAGTCATTCTGTGCTAAATAGTCTAAGACAAAGAATAACTTTGTTTTGACGGGAGTATGGATGCAGGAGCTTCAAAAATATTATTCTGTGCCTTGGTGTAATAGAAACACAGATATATTGCAATGGTGGAACATTCATGCTCCTGCATTTCCCATTCTAAGTTTGAGTAAGCATACCGGCTACTTCAGTCCTGGCGGAAAGATTCTTCTCACGTGCTGCGTTACCTATAAGAAAACTTCAATCTGCACGATGTTGAAAAACATATGTTTTTTTTCTTGTTTAGATGTATGATGTAAGTATGTACCTATTAGGTACTTACTTTTCAATAAATAATGTTATCATTGTTGTAATTTTGTCTTCCTACTCCTACATTATACCTAGAAAGAAGGTAAAGGTAGTATCCCGTACTAGACTGGAACAAGATTATGCATGACGAAATCGCGATACATTTGCGAGACTCTCGTACGAGACGCGAGACAAGACGAGACTGGAGGCTGCGAGACGAGACCCGAGACAATACTTCATATTTCATCGGCGAGACGAGACGAGACTTTATGAAAGTCTCGTCTCGTTGGTCTCGTGTGAATCACTACTCTGTGTGAAATGTTATGAATTTTTTCCGAGCCGTTCTTGAAATATGAGTCCATTCCTAGACTCTTCAAAAACACTGTATAAACGAATAATGATAGATCATCGATGAATGAATAAATGATGATGAATGAATGAATAATAACTAAGTACAACATTTCTGAATGAGATAGATAGACAGGAGTAGTCGAGTATAGGTATCTAAAGAAGTATACATGCAAATCAGAGAGAGGCATCACTTTCATCCTAATGAGTGTAAATAAATCTGTGAACAGGACTCGCTATTAGGAAGTGTTGTAACTTTGATCTGAACGTATTTATTCCCAAGTCACGAAAACGTTCCCCAACTCAACTACTATACAAAACACTTTTTCGATAAAACGATTCACGAAATTGATAACACAACATCAAAAACAATCATCAATATTAGCAAATGATATAATACCTTCCCGGCTGAACAGAAAAAAATCAGGGTGTTGGTGATAAGTTCCAAGTGGAAATCGTGTTAGACAGATGATGCTTATTCAAGTAGAACCATAAAATGAAGCACAATCACTGAAAAATACATTGAAACTTTTGTTTTCTGGAAGTACTATACAGAAACACCCCATCACATACTGATGGAGTGTGACACTGTACATCACAAAAGATTTAACATACTGGGAACACACCAGCTGACTGTGGAAGAAATACCACAGCTAGACCCCCTCAAAATCCTCAAATTCCTGGAGGAATTGAATCTCGAGGGGCTGCTATGAACAAGAAATCCTTGATATAGCAGGAGCAGAAGAATCAGAATAATGAATTTGAAGGTCCCCAATGAGAAATGAAATTGACAATCGAAAATCAGAATTTCATTACTTAGTTTCAAATGAAAGTGAAATAAAAGAGAACATGGAATCAATCAATCAAAGTGATGTAATAGAAAATCATTCTGGACCTATTACAAATGATGATGATATTTCGGATGATATCAAACTGGAGACTAAATATTATACTGAAGCACAGGTGGAGATATTCGAGAGTGATGGGTGATGTGTGTAATTCAATGATGGAGATGAAGTCTTCTAGCCGACACAATATTATCAAGAACAACACCAAACTGAAAACCATTTGCCCCAAATCGAAGGAGTGGACATATAGGAATTGGACGAAGAGGAGAACTTCTACATGAGAATGGTGAAATATATTATTGCCAAATATCAAATGACAATCACACAATAATGTGCTCAAAATAACAAACTGATGAGTGCATGAATAACTGTGTGATCAAACTATAATCCATGAATGTGTTTCTTGTTCTTGTTGTCATGCTGTATTTGGTTGTAGCTTGTGAAAATAAAGGAAAATCAGTGTTTCCTTTCAAAATCATGTGTTTTATCTGAAAGCTATTTATTTGTTAAAGTGCATTTCACAGAACCTATTAGTTTTTCCCTAATGAAAAAACTCGAATTATTGGATGAACTCCTATTGTTCAAAATGAAGAAACCAGTACAAGTTTCAAAGCACAATGAGAATCATTATATAAATATTGTTTGAAATGATTCGATCTTGAAAATAACTACAAGTCCTCAATTGCTCGGGATCATTGTTCATGTAAATCGATGATATTGATCATTCTAAGCAGTCTCTCCAACAATTTATTTTCAACCCCTTCGCTAGTATTCCAACCCCTTTTAAACAGCCAGTGATAATTCTTGATGAATTCAATTATTTCTTCATACCTATACCATATTGGCTGATTCCTTATAGTTTCATTTCAATCCATGCAAGTGTTGAGTGGATCATTCCGACCATTCGATATGTTTAGATACATTGGAATTGTAATGTGACTTCGATGATGAATACCACCATTGTCCACATCAAAATGGCAATATCTCTGCACAAAAAGTCATTTTTTCAATACTGGAAATCTTGTACGGCAATTATGAAGATTTCACGGAGTCTACTTATTATTTACTATTTTGCAAACGGATTTCGAATCATCCAATTTGCAATGGGTACACTGAACATTTTTTTTGGTTTAATTTCACTCAAGGTCCACGCAATACTGTGTCAATTTCGGTCCACGCCCGATTGAGTTGAAATTCCACCCTACTTGACTGTGCAAAATGGTAATTCATGAAATATCTAGTTTGAGCTGAGAATTCACTCAAAAATTTCAATCAGTAAATTCACTCACAACCACATATGTAGTCACAGTCACTCAAAGGAATATTCTACACTGAACATACGGCAATGTTTTAGTTATTCATACTCAGTTTGAAATTTGAAGATGATTTGAAGTTTGATAGCGCCATCTGTTGGTTCGTGATTTTAGCGATAAGCTCTTGCGCGAATAATCCTCCACATTAAAGGATCGCAATTGAAACATTCCATTCTGGAAAGATCTGCCTACAATGCCGCATTGTTCCGTGTGGATATGAAGTGCTCATCCAATTCATATTCGCCACGAATGCCCGCTGCTTTCCAGAGATAGCGGAAATTCCAGGCGAAAATTCATTAGCATTAAAATCAGATCCTGTTTGAGGATGGCTCTAGCGAAACGCGAACAGAGCTGCCCACATCAATTCTCCATCATCTCTGCGGGTTCCTTTCATCGGTGGTTTATTGTCATTATCATGATTATTGCTCTACTACTGTAGAAAAATGTGATGGATATCGATTGTGGAATCGTTAGATGAGCTTCCAATACCTAAGTATTGTTCTCAATTCATTCAGAGAGATATTGTTGCCACATATCATCAGGAGAATGGCCAATATTTTGGAACCGTCATAATGATATACCTGTCGCTCATTCATTCTAATGTCTCATTCTAATCAGACCAAGAAGAAACAATTACAATAATTATTGAACATATAACTAACTATACTTTGAACTTCCCTCAACAATAAGTCAACATCCATGTTGCACAATTTCTCAGTGGCATTACAGTGGCAGTACATTATCCACATTCTTTATAGATGCCTAAAATTATTGATATTTCCACTCTTAGGTTTATTTTTGTTCACTATCATTAATTGAGCTTTCAGTCGAAACCAATTCAGATTTTGAAAGATTTTAAGTCTGACATCATCATATGGTTTTTCAGATACCTATACCAAATTGGATTCGAGCATGTTAGTTGGTGAAGTCCAAAATGTTCATCAACTGCAAAATAGAAAAGATAGCCAGTTAGTAGCTATCCTATCATACATTTTTTCACGTTCATGCAAAAAACGAACCATTATCGACCTATTTTCAGTAGAAAAAGTGTTTTTTTATTACACTAGTGCAATAATGTTCTCATTGTACTCATCTTCCATTTTACTATAATGTATTTCACTACGTGCACGAAATTCGAATGACGCCGCGTGTTTTTTTTTTTAAGAAAACTGCTTCAATTGACTTCAGAAAGACTATACTTTGGAAGGATAGATCGAAAAGGTGAGTATTGGATATTTTTTGAAATTTCGAGTCTCGATTCATAAGTTTATTGGGTTTAGATGGGAATCATACGGTTGTCATCTCAGCTTGTCCTCCAACTTATATTATTTGTTCGTGTTCAACATATGAGAAAAGTCACTTAACTTTGTGAATTAGAGTAATTTGGAGGTCGTTCGACATGCTTCTGCATGCACTACTATTGTGATCACATCAACGCTCATATGCATTATACAAGACTTTATGAAGGATCTGTATCAAGAAATCACACAAAGTAACACTAGATCTAACGATATTCTAGAGATTTATTCGAATTTCACAAATATTTATTATTGAATTATTACGATCATGAACTGCAAATATCAGGACAAGAAATGCCCCATTTTTCCAAGTACTCTGAAGATAATTTGACAATAACGAAATAGTTTTGAACCAAAATATGAAAGCAAACCAGACCAAATAGTATTCCACAACTTTGTTGAAAGGCGACTCTTAAAGAAAATCGAAGATCAGTAAAACTCACCTCAGCTGGAAACTCTGGATCTTCTGGCATATTTTTGATAACAAGAACGAACGGAGTATTCGCTCGCTTGACGATCTCATCGAATGACAGAGTGATACTCTTCGGCCTTTGAAATTCGAAGTAAGTTGCTACAGATGCCCCTTTGGTGGTGAAAAATTGCCCGAAAAGACGCATGAAGCCGCTACCCAGTTGAACCAATTCCAAATGCCGATCTGCAAACAATGTTTCAAAATGTTTCAATAGACAAGAGTTAGGAAACTGAGTATCTAATGTGGCATATTACGAGGTATATAGTAGGTACTATAGCTTTCACTTGCGGCTCCGCTCGTGTTGAAGCCCCTAAATACATGTCAAAGATCATTACTTATTTCAGATCTTTTGGGAATTCCTCTCCTCGTTTCTATAAAAAAAATATGAATATTATTTCAATATACGTGTAGTAAGGACAGATCAGATGATTTGCCTAAAATGTCACTGCGTTTAATAGTTATTTATGCAACAAGTGCAAAAAGTGAATGTTTATTGCATTCGACGTGAAATTGTCCGACGAGGCCGTTTGGCCGAGTTGGACAACACGTCGAGTGCAATAAACAATTTTTGCACGAGTTGCATACAACATTTTTTCAACGTTCATGCAAAAAGCAAAAAATGATTTATTGAGGTGCGGCACTAGGTACAATTCTGTTAATTATCAGAATTAATTTTTGACTGACGTTTCTATAACCACAGTTGCATAATAGAAAATGTTTGTCATGATGACAGCACGTTGAAGTAGAATGACAGATGAGTGCAATAAAAACTTTATTGCACTAAGTGCAATAAAGAACTTCTTTTTCCACTAAATATTGTTCAATAAAGTTCTGTTTTTTGCATGAATGTAGAGAAAGAATTTTTTGTCATAAAGCCTGAAAGAAAAATTCACCAGCTTCTCAGTGACAATTTGTATTAAATAAGTGACAATTGTCACTGACACCTGAGAAGTATCAAGACGAATACGGATTTGCTATACAAATATACATATCATTATTTTATGTTGAAAACGGGACCAGATTCGTTTCAGAAACGTCCAACGCTATGTGGAAATTCGATATTTTTTTTATATACATTAATTTCTCTTCTCCAAACCTTTCTCAATACAAATTGCCACTGACAGGCTATAGTGGATTTTGGGGCAAATCATCTGATTTGTCCTTACTCCACGTATATTGGGAAGGAATTCATATTTTTATTCTGTAGAAACGAGGAGAGGAAACCAAAAAACAATCTGAAATAATGAATGTTTCACCTCCCTGATTAACGTACAGTCAGTAAAGATCATTAAATTCCAATATAACTCAATCAATGTGATTCATTATTTGAAAATTACTACATACAAAGATAGAAGTTTCAAAATCTGAAAACATGCTTGATTGAAATAATTTGCCACAGCAGAAGTTGAAATGCATTTCACTACAACAACATGCTTCCACATGGATTATTTGTTGCGCCCTGTCTCTAGGTTCTAGTTGGACTTATTCAGGTCAAATTGAATTCGTGTATTTTGGTTGCGCAGAAGACTGCGTCACTGAATAGCAAAAAATCTGAAGAGTTTCTCCTATGCAGTAATGAATTTGCGCCTTCAAAGTGCCCACCTGATGTTAGGTTAGATATTTGTCATTTTCATTTCATCATCTAAGGAATGATCCAAGACTTACGGTTCCAAAAAGACGTATTCTAATAATTAATATCTAAGGTACCGACGTATAGAGTTTTATGTTTGATTGTTGGATGTTCTGTGTCCAACAATCATGTCTGCCAAAATATTTTTTTTTACCCGCTGTGACAAAAATCCTTGCGAAGTTTCATGATAAATGGTTGAATATTTTTGGCGTGGAAGCCTTATCAACAAACTTCTATTCACATTTTTATTATATTAGTAGTGAGTAGTATAGCTATACTTGCTAAGGCATTATGATATTGGAGCTAAACTTCGTATGCGAATCCAGTAATTTTGAATTGACAAATAAACCAATTCGATGTCTTCATTTTGCTGTTTGCTGGTGACTCCTCCAGTTCGATAGATACAGGTGAAGCAGATTTGTTTCCATTGACCTCATTAGGTGCGATATTGAAGCCTGGAGTAAGCAAACAGCAGGAGAAGCCAGATACATCGACTTCCTCTGTTATGTGAGCACACTGAATTTCTGCATACTATCTAACGTCTGAGATATTTACAATTGGAGCAGATACGTTCGCAGGGACTTAAAGAAGCCTCTTAGTCCAGTCATTATATCCAAATAACGGACCTTACCCGTGAATAATTTTCAAGTTTTTTTTTCATAGGTGTCTCGGGGGGGTCACTGGGAGTGTAAATTCAACATGGTGACCAAACCAAGCTCTTGCGTATGTTCGAAAACTGGTTTTTTTGTTAAAAAACGGTTTTTCTTGAATAACATTGCCATTTTTGATTTTACAGAAGAAGTTTGGACACAAAAATTGTAGTAAATTTGGTTCTCTACAAGGTTGGTCCCTACAATTTTTCTGATAGGATCGATATTTTGTAAATTAAACCTGAAAAAAGCGACAAATTCGAAATATTTCATTATCTCGTTTATTTTCAACTTTACGGCATAAATGTACAGAAACAAACTTGTAGAGAATCCAATCTTGGACACATTTGATCTTCACCTGTTTTTCCGAAAATCGATATTTTCGGAATTTAACCAGAAAATATGTACCCATTCAGAAATATTCGCAATATCTCCTCTTCTTCAATTCTGCAGGTGCAACGAATAGGGCGAAAGTTGTATACAATAAAATGCACGAAAAATTGCGGAGGAATGTGTGGGTGTCGTAAGGCAGGACTGAAATGTTCTGTCTCATGCCACAACTGCGCTGGACAGACTTGCGATAACGTCACACAATTGCGTGCCGTCGATGACGAAGACAGTGATGATGACAACGACATCGACGATTCCGCACCATTAACACTGAACCTTAACGAATGTGAAACTAGACATTACCAGTTGACCAAAGAAGAAAGAGAGGATATGGATTTGGCAGGACCATCAGCTAAGAAAGCAAAAAAAAAAAAGTTCCGGAACCATATTTTCACACCGACATGACAAACAAGCTACCTGCGCGGAATTTATACAGTAAAATGCGAAGCATTGGAGATAATGATAATATTTTGAATTTGTCGCTTTTTTCAGGTTTAATTCCCAAAATATCGATTTTTGGAACAAACACGTGGTAACCAAAATTGTTTAGAATTTGATTCTCCACAAGTTTAGTCCTCTTCATTTATGCCGTTAAGTTGAAAATAAACGAGATAATGAATTTGTCGCTTTTTTCAGGTTTAATTAACAAAATATCAATCCTATCAAAGAAATTATGAGGACCAAACTTGTAGAGAACCAAAATTTAAAAAATTATTCACGGGTCAAAGTCTATAATGACTGGACTATCTCTCAAAATCGATAAATTGCACTTCCTACTCGGGTTTCGCTTCTTACCATCAGTTTTCAAGATCCAGTATCCAAGAGATGTTCACTCTCGACCGGAATCAACTTTCATGAGAAGATACAAATGGTATTGTCACATATGAGGAGAAACCATATTATAATATGATATAATATAATAGTAGGATAATGATCTACTCACTGAATCGATAGTAGGCGTTTGTTCCTTCATTTAAGGAAGAATTTTTCGGTCGATTTGTAGGTGCTAAAATGCTCAATAATGCCACGGTAATTTTGGAACGGATAGAAATTTACTGCGGGTAAAAACTGATGTCACGGTTTCGTTAGTAGGGGCAGACCATAGGACAGTTGCAATGTGTTAAAATACGATTGGGAACTTCAGAAATATAAGTTATTCAAACATTAATACATTCTTAATTATGTATTGGTTATATTCCTATTTAGCAATACAAAATCAATTTTCTCAAAGTGTTCCCTTATTATTTGTGGCTTATTGCTCAATTATAATACATTTGAGTGAATAGTAATAATTATATTAGTTCACACTGGAGGAAATTTGAGGCAGTGAACGTGACAACATCGCGCGCACGGCTTGTGGGCGTGGTCTTGTCCCTTCTCAGCATTCAGCTTAATGTTGCGAAGTCAACATTCACATGAAATTCTGTTATGGAGTATAAGACATGCTGGTTGCTCGAAAGAGTGAAGAATGAACAATAATATGGGTTCCTCCTATTATGTTTCATTTAACGACAGGATCTCTCACATCTCTATGATAACTCGATTATAACTGGTGACTTGACAACCTTGCTTCGTGAGTGGAAATGGGAATTTATCTGACCAATAACGAAACAGCATCAAAGCTGACGTCACCAATGAGCTCCGAAATTCAACAATTTCGAACAACGCATACACTTTTTATCTACATAAGGAAAGTGAAAGCAGTGTTGCAAAAATTAATTTAGGTCCCCAACGACACAGTGTAGAATTGAATCGTGGGAGGTGAAATAAATTGGTTTCAGCATGCATCCTTTGGCGTCGATAAACATATAAAATCTGTGCAATCCAAATAATCAGTGCCTTTATCACCATTATAAAACAAGTAACAATAATATCCTAAATTTGGATTTCCATGATATCATCATACGCTTCTTCATATTCCAAACGAATTATAATCGAAACTTTCAAATGCAGTTACAGAATATTCAAATCAATCAATTCATGATGACAGAAGTGTCAAATTGAGTTAAGTTCAAATGCCGTCAATCGTCCATGGCATACTCAACCTTTGTTATTCAAAATGAGAGATAGACCGCCTGAAGCACAATTTCAAGAATGATGCTTTGAAATGATGCGTTCGTTGATATGACTCATATATTATATATCAAGGGACCAAAGGTTCATGTCGTCCTCCCATGTGTGTGTTCAATGACCTCCGCTCGAGCATCAAACTCCACACGCGGGAGGGAATGTATTTCTTTCCTCCCTTGATATATAAATAGCTATTACATTGTTTTCACGTTATTCGATTCATGTTGGTTTTTGCTCCGCCTTTTTGGCACATTTCTATGTTTTCTGTTGATTGATATAGAGATTGACTGTTTATCATGATTTTGATAATCATTATTTCTATTTTTGAAGTGAATGTGATTGAGTGAAATGATATCTTGATATCTATAACCCTCTTGCAAATTAAAGAGATCATTCTCAAGTTGCCGTACGTCGTGAGGACTGATCAGAGTTGCGATAGTATTTGCCGTACGTCGTGAGGACTGATCAGAGTTGCGATAGTATTTTGTGCTCTTCTAGTTCATTTAAGTTATTTCAGTAGTGCAATCTGGTTGACAATCGGAACATGTTGGCACTCATTCCTATAATAGTCTATTCAATATTTCATTATTCCATAAATAGAATCAGGTGCCAATAAGGTTTGGAATGCATACATTACAATCAAAACATGTTGGCCGTCATCCATAATAATTATTCTATTCAATATTTCATTATTCTATAAATAGAATCATGTGCCAATTAGGTTGTGAATGCAAACATTACTTATCACCCCTGCCATCCGGAAATGATCATTCGAATTACAAAATGCATAAAAGCTTGGACTGTAAACGCCAAATCCATTAGGAAATGGCAACGAAATGTTTGGAAAGCTCTCGACGGGAAATAGATTATTATGCAGTACCATTCCGCGCTTCAAACGTAGAGTTGGCAAATTGTTCACGCTTCATTATGGCTAACAGCATCCCGACTGCAACTATCATTTTGTATTATATAAGATAACCAGCTCGTTTTGAATCATTATATTCGCGTTGGATTTATGCTCTCCAGCCTTTAACTCGATATGAACTACGGGTATCATAATAGCTCGTTGGCAAACACTCTAATCTATCTATATATATATCTGTTACGTTACCGCCTTTGTGATATTTTTGATATACAGGGTGATCAACTAGGACACACATTGAAAGTCCCCCAACTTGCAGTTGAATTGAAAACTAGAACATTTGCATATCTTATTTATTCATTTATTCAGAAGGCAAGGCTATCCAACAGAGGGACTATATATGTATATTCTTTTCAATAACAGGATAACACAATATACTCACTATCATTTAACAACTGAGTATTTATATATTCAATCATGTTCATTGTACCAGTATCACCTGACGAAGCTACTGTGTTAGCGAAACATGTGGTGTGTTTAATAAATTTTGTGGAAATCTTATCGTTTGTGAAGTTTTCACATTTATCATGGATTTCCATCAAGTAACGGCCGAGTCAATTAAAAAAAAAAACAATCACTTCTAATTGAAAGTTGAATTTGAAGACAACAACGATACACTTGTCTTATATCAATCGGCTTGCTTACTTCATGTAAGACTTGCAGTGACGTATATACAGTGGTACGCCCATTCGACTCCCCAGTCGTTAACCGCCATTCGTCATTCCCTCTGTTGTTTCTTCTGGAGACGGTGCAAAGCACCTTCCTTTTTCAATGGTGAAGTGTTCAAGAATCAATCATGGATATTAGTGGTGTGATATCATCTTTACAGCAATGCGACATTCCATATTAGAGGATAATCTGCGGAGGTGAGAACTGTATATTTGTGTAACATAGTTGTACCTATACACCGGAAATTTTGAAGAAACTCTGTCCACTGAGATAACGTACAGGTTCATGAAAACATTCTAGAAGTAATTTTTTCTGAATGAAACGTCTCTATTTTCTCCTGCAGTCTTGGTTTATTCGGAGCTCATACACCTAATGATTTTTTTTATGTCAGCAGCTAAATTGGGTAGCGTCGTTTTCTTCTATGATTCGATTGATCTGGTGTTACGTATTGTGAAAATGCATGTAGTCTGTGACCTGTTTTTTGCGAAAGAAGCTCGAATAGTGTCTATATCTTGATCAGAAATACAAATATCTTCAGTGAGAAGTCAATCAGCTACTTCCAAAACGGAATTGAATCAAAACACGCGAAACGCGAAAAATGCATGGCACTGTCCAAAATGATGTTTGACTCTGAAAAACTGATCATATCATATTCATACTGGCCAAATTTGATGTAGGAATCGCAGAACTGATTGCTGAAATATATGAAGGGGAAGCGTACAAAGTGAGACACGCTGTATATAAGGTTACTCGGTAAGTTTCGGATATGACCCCAATATTGTAGCGTTGAGAAAATTTGAAGAAAATTGTTAACGAGAAATTGAGGGCTGGAAGTAGGTTCACATTCAAGGTCTGTTTTGAATTCACAGAGGAGGTGAGGTACACATGAAATATATCGATATCTTGTCTCAAATTCTGTCTCGGAAAGAAAGTGATGTAGAAATATTCTTGGTCAAGTAATCTAGTGCCAAAGTATTAGATACACGCTAATACATTCTCATGGATCATTTGGATGATATACAGATTATTTCAATGGAGGGATATTTTGTGATTATTCTAAGAATATTCCTTGAATATATTGTTAGTACCAACTTGGTGACTTTACGTTAGACGATTTCTCAATTTTTTTGGATGTTCATCAAATAACCATTGAAATAAGAATCAATGATTGCCAGTCCTGACTACTCTATAAGTTTGCACTCAATATAAAAACAGCTCTAACTTTTCTATCGATTTGTGATACTGTGTCTCACGAAAGGATACCGAACATCTTCAATCATTCGTTGAAGCGAATGAGCTCTAAAAGACATTCAGTGTTAATGCTGGTCTCGATGCTGGTATATTGATATCGCTCGAAAATGGAGATGAAGTGATGCCAGAAACAATAACAAGGCATTTGGCTCATATGAAAATAGCGATTTATTATTTCCCTCTCCTTACATCAGACACTGTGATGGCAAGAATAATATTTGAATTTTTTCAAACGGGCCTAGGTTTTCACAAAGACAAAAAACGCTGTAGATTCTCGAAGATATTTTGTCAGGGAGTTGATGCTAAAATTCCAGCAGTGTGAAACAGTACCTTTGACAATCAACTATAAAGATATCTCACCTAGTATGAAGTGCCATGGGAATGCCTTACAGAAAGTGCTCACACCCATTTTGAGCTTGCTGCTGTCAAGAGATGTCTCTACGGCGTTCCTGCTGAAGAACTGATGTTTCTCTGAAGATGACGTGACTCGTATCGTGAAGCTGAAACAAAATAGTCCAGAGAATTGATTTTTCTTCATATTCCTCATGTGCATTCATGCAGCTAGTGATTATTATTGTCTTACAATCACTAATAAAGCTATTCACATATTTCAGAATTATCGCGTAATCCTTCGATGCACACAATTGAAAATCACCAAAATGTGTGTGGTAATAGTGCGTGAGTTGATAGGATAGGAATAGAAGGTGAGGACCGAATTTTCCCAACAATTGATGAATTCTTGGAGATACTTCCTTAGGAAAATAGTTCCAAAGCTTTGCCGTTCTCCATACACTTTTGGTAGAGAGTTGTTCTGAGTGGTCTCTAAGTTGACGATGAAATAATGTGATACGTCCATGGTTGTACCTGTTGGATGAGGGTGCTAAACCTGATGATAGAAACATGGATGTTATGTAATTCGGTCCAGAAATGGTTTGAAATTTGATCAAGGATTCATGGACGTGGGTAGAGGGCGAATGTTGGCATGGATTTTGGAAATTCCATGTTATATATATATTTTTTGAATTTCCAAATAAAATTGATGGCATGTCTCTCCGAAAGCGATATTTTATTTCTTCAATCGTGTAGTTTCAGGAATAATAGGCAGAGATTGAAGATTTCAATGTAAAGGGAACCTGTCTGAACCTGGAATTTGGATATATCTGGTACGTATTCCAAGAAGTCAACTTCGATAAGTAGACTGAGGGTATGACATTTCAGGAAAATTCATCAAATGATTGAAACTATCCAAGGTGAACCCATTTTGGCTGAAAAAGTAAGACGATCTTGTATATTGGTAATAACTTCGAATTGACCAATTCGAATATGCATTTTTTCATGGCAGAAGTATGTTCTATCTGCACCATAACAGTACAGGGGCTCGTGAATCACCCTGTATTTGGATATATCTGGTATTTCAGGAAGTCAACTTTGATAAGTAGACTGAGTGTATGACATTTCAGAAAAATTGATCTAACGATTGGAACTATTCAAGGTGAACCCATCATGACTAAAAAAGTAAGACGACCCTGTATATTGGTAATAACTTCGAATTGACCAATTCGAATATGTATTTCTTTATGGCAAAAGTATGTCCTATCTACACCAAAACAGTACAGTGGTTCGTGAATCACCCTGTATTAAATAATAACAATTAATCGAAGAATATACTACAATCATATATTATATAATATACCTGAACTCACTGAATATTTTGAGAAATCAATTGGACACTTCCCCACAGATTTCTTTGGCTTTTTAGTCCAGGCTGAACGATGTTCTCGGGTAGGGAAATCTTTCTCTCCATGCAATAAATATCTTATTAGTACTCAACTTGTGGAGACCTTTGGTGACACATTCTGGTACTGACAAAACTCTGCTCCTTCATATAGTACAATCGATTGTGTTTTCTGTGTTTCAATAAAGATATGTTTTTTGTTGATCTCTAGTGAATGAGCTATTCAACAGCGGAAACGAAACTGTACCCACAAGGACACTAGCTTGAAACCAGATCATTGATCATGTGATTCCATTGGAGCATTCCAATTTTTTCAAAATCCCATTGATTCTTGTCAGATAAACTGACATTGAATTGAGAAAACATTGTGAGGAAAAAACATTCTAAGGAATGCTCTTCTATTTCTTATTCGCCCTCAAGTGGTCCACCCTATTGTGAGGTGGGATGTAGTGAATGTTCTCACGAATAAACAGAGCTCGCGGCGTGGATCGAACTACTTCATCCTTGAAAGGAAATAGAGGACCACTTCAGAATGCACAATACAACACTGAACTTAGCTGCGCGCATATTGGGATGTAATCTTCCAGAACGCACCAGCCACACTTACCTTCTCCCAAACAATGGAGCATAGAATTCGAGCACCCAAGCAGGTACCTATAAGCTGTCAAATTAATGTCTTTCAGTCAGCACGAATGATATAGTCGCTCTCAGGCTTTCTCCCTGGATTGGGGCATTACAATTTACATGCCTTCTACTCTATTCATCCTGCTCAGTAACCCCCACAAGTGATGCTATGCAGATATAAGCCGGTGCTTTGAAAATGTTGAAGCAGGGTTGCCAGACCTATTTAGGATGTCTTTTTTGTTATGTTAACTAATTTTCTGGAACTCATTCACGCTGATAGACATTAGAGCCTCAATTGGAATCGTACTTATCAATATGCTGAATGAGCCTTGATGAGAATATATTTATATAAGCAGAGTGAAAATATACTGGATATGGGCCTCGTGAAGATCTATTGAATACGGGCATTGCGGTGATATATTGAATATGAGGAGTTAACTACTTGTTTACTTTTCCTACGAAGTGATAATGGAAATTGCCAACAAAATTTCCATCAGGGAAACCAAGATATTCTGATTCAGAATCGGTCACTTTGTTATTCGAAATGAGTCAATTTTAGTCTGTGAAAAGTGGGTATGGAGAATACTTTTTTCATTGCAGTAATGCAATGCACGGTGTATCCTAGTCATAATAGACATATTGCACTAATTGTAGAGGCAAGTTTTGAAGACCTAAGTACAAAGGTAGCAACATCTCTCACTCAAGCATATTGGGTGAATGTATTTTTTTCCAGGAAAGTAAATGAAATTGGTGATAGGTGATAGATCTTGAGCACATACCAACCTCCAACGAGCTGTTCATTGAAAAGTAACAGAGTATCGAAAAGATTTTTTCGCTGCCACTTTATATTTGCCTGCAATTTCAGCAAATGGTAATCAAGGATAGCGAAAACAGATATGCCAAAGAAGGGGAGTGTTGTATTTTGTGCAAGGTAATTCATTCAAATTTATTACTAGTAGCAGAGAGTGAAATTGATGAGTCTCATCAAGTCCACTTCAACACGACATGTCGCGGCGACAATGGTTGCTAAACAAAATATAATCTGTATTTTACCCCCTGGAAACACATTTCGATATATTTGTACCGTATCCTACCAGAATGTCGATAGTTTTGAACTAGACCAGATATATTTTTATGGACAAATTTCTTTGTTGACCTGACGAGTATGCACTGATGATGACTTAACAGTCGAAAGCTATCTGCTACAAGTAATAAATTTGAATAAATTATCTTGCACGAAATAGAACACTTCCCTTCTTCGGTATATATACACGTACACATAGCCAAGCAACCCTCAATCTTGGAAAAGATATGGTCCAAATCAGGAGTATTTCTGACTTACGATGATATCACTGTGAATATACTGTATCTCCTTGATGTACTTCACTGTAGGTCAATTAAACCTCAAATTGGTCGTACATTTTCTGGTATTTGACGGAGATCTATCACCAACTCAATTTTTATGAAAAATAAGTTGATCATGTCCGTGTATTGTCAATCAGAGTGTGATTGTGAAAGTTACGTGATAGTGGAAATTAAATTGGGATATTATTCATAACTAACTAAATCTTTAGAGCAAAATTATTCACAAAATTGCTTCAGGACTTGTTTCAAATGAATTCATCATCATACACTCTAAGAAAACTGTTGGTGTCTTTTTCAATTCCAGACTGTTAGAATTAACACTAACCCTATTCAACACCAAAATTGTACTATCCTATCATAATTATTGGGAATTTGATATCGTGGGGTTCGACGGTGTAAATCGTGATACATTATGGCAAATCTGAATTCGGAATCACACTTTTCATACTCATTATTTGAATTCAAACTGTAAACATCAAATTATTCTATTCATGAATCACAAAGTTGATATATTCTGAAAAATTATCATTAGTAGGTGTAATTTTTCAAAATTCATATCATGAAAGTGATCAACTATCAAATTTTTCATGTGGCTATCAATTTTATGAAGTATCCATATTCACACAAATAATTCCTCTTCAAGATATTCACCTAGTAATGAGATTGATAACCAAATCAGTGTATTTTCTGATATCACTGGAATAAATGACACTGGAATAGTTGTAAATCAACACCACTAATATCAGAAAAACATCGGAACAAATTTGTCGCCATACACTGTTGCCACCTCGTCTATTTTATATTACTTAAACCTATTTCATATATAACACTTTGAACATCGTGGTGTAAGATAATGATTAGAAGTTGATGAATTCAATATCAATATGATGCTCTCTAATTAATGACTGCAACATTCTGTATCATTACTGCAGAGCTCACATGCATTTTGGTCCACCATTCGTCAAACGTACTCGACAGGCTGAGTCAGCACATCATCGTTTTGTCGTCAATCTAGAATTATGTCAAACAACTCCTTTCCAAAACACGTTTGTCAATGGAACGACGAAGCTTCGGTATTCTTTTCCAACGGAAGTATTTCCAAGAACTTATGAGGACAATTTCATTTAAGTACCTACTGCCTATGTTCATTAATTTATCATGAAACTAGGTACATATACTTAGTTATTTCATATCGTGATGCTTGGCAACCTTGCGCATATTCTTTGTGTACGTGCTCCTATCACTTCCACACTCCAGACTCCAGAGTTCCACAGCCATTCGTAGTAAACGTTGAGCAATATTCAGCACTGTCTCTCTTCACTGTGCTTTCAATAAGCACGGATCATGTTGCTCTTCCAGTGTAAAGTGCATGATTGTTTCTATCATGAAGTGTATAAAAATAAAATTCAAATGCTCAGAAAAGTTTATTGAGGAGTCAAAATCAGAAACAATTGTCTCGATGTTTCGACACAACACCAAAATCGATGGGACACAGAGCTACCACAGGTAATACAGGTCAAAATGAGTTGATTGTACCTAACTTGTTTATATAAGAGAATGTACCGTTTGTCCGTGAGGTGAGTTTAAAGTTTTCATAAATAAACACATTTTCGTTCGCTGATCGCTGTTCAAAAATGAGTGAAACAAATTGGATGATATTCGACGAAAGTGCATTTTAGAGTATAACTCTTCTTTCAGTAATCGAAGAATCCCGAAAGAAATTGTAGATCTTTTGAAAATATGTTTATTTATGAAAACTCTGAACACGTCTCACGG